TGTGCAGAAGTTCACACAGCGGGTATGGATGACAATGATGGGGCCGACCACACGGATGTCGCAGGCGGCCAGTGGGAAGTAACTGGTTGAAGATCTTCTGGAGTCGAAAACTGCACTGGCTCAGAAGAATCCAGGGTGATGTGGTGCACTGAGCAGCTGCAAAGACATGATGAAGAGGCTGACAGCGCCAACTGCTGGGGCTGGGCCGCCGGTGCAGACTGTCTAATCTATGCTATTTGACTAAAATGTGGCGCGCTTCACTAAAATTGCTCAAAATAAATAATAAGTGCAACCAAGTACTGTTATGAATAGTGAGTGACAAAATAAATATTTTAACCAATATCAATTCAAAAGCAATACGCATATTCATAAAAAAAACAATATACCAAAAGTAATGTCCATACACGTGTCAAAAAAAAATATAAATAAAAAGTCCATATACAGGTGAAACTCGAAAAATTAGAATATCGTGCAAAAGTTCATTTATTTCAGTAATGCAACTTAAAAGATTAAATTAATATATGAGATAGACTTATTACATGCAAAGCAAGATAGTTCAAACCGTGATATGTCATAATTGTGATGATTATGGCTTACAGCTCATGAAAACCCCAAATCCACAATCTCAGAAAATTAGAATATTACATGCAATCAATAAAACAAGGATTGTACATAGAACAGTATCGGACCTCTGAAAAGTATAAGCATGCATATGTACTCACTACTTGGTTTGGGCCCATTTTGCAGCAATTAAGGCCTGAATGCGGCGTAGCATGGAAGCTATCAGCCTGTGGCACTGCTGAGGTATTATGGAAGACCAGGATGCTTCAATAGCGGCCTTCAGCTCTTCTGCATTGTTCGGTCTCATGTCTCTCATCTTTCTCTTGGCAATGCCCATAGATTCTCTATGGGGTTCAGGTTAGGCGAGTTTGCTGGCCAATCAAGCACAGTCATTAAACCAGGTTTTGGTGCTTTTGGCAGTGTGGGCAGGTGCCAAGTCCTGCTGGAAAATGAAGTCAGCATCCCCATAAAGCTCGTCTGTGGAAGGAAGCATGAAGTGCTCCAAAATCTCCTGGTAGACGGCTGCGTTGACCCTGGACTTAATGAAGCACAGTGGACCAACACCAGCAGATGACATGGCTCCCCAAATCAACACAGACTGTGGAAACTTCACACTGGACTTCAAGCATGTTGCAGTGTGTGCCTCTCCATTCTTCCTACATACTCTGGGTCCTTGGTTTCCAAATGAGATGCAAAAGTTGCTGTCATCAGAAAAGAGGACTTTGGACCACTGAGCAACAGACTAGGTCTGTTTTTCTTTAGCCCAGGTAAGACGATTCTGACGTTGTTTTTTGTTCAGGAGTGGCTTGACAAGAGGAATACGACATTGGAAGCCCATGTCCAGGATCCGTCTGTGTGTGGTGGCTCTTGATGCACTGACTCCAGCCTCAGTCCACTCCTTGTGAAAGTCCCCAACACTTTTGAATGGCCTTTTCCTGACAATCCTCTCCAGGCTGCAGTCATCTCTGATGCTTGTGCACCTTTTTCTTCCACACTTTTCCCTTCCACATAACTTTCTATTAATGTGCTTTGATACAGCACTTGGGAACATCCAACTTCTTTTGCAATTACCTTTTTGAGGCTTTCCCTCCTTATGGAGGGTGTCAATGATGGTTTTCTACACAACTGTCAGGTCAGCAGTCTTTCCCATGATTGTGATTCCTACTGAACCAGACTGAGAGACCATTTAAAGGCTCAGTAACCCTTTGCAGGTGTTATGGCTTAATTAGCTGATAAGAGTGGGACACTTTGAGCGTAGAATATTGCACTTTTCACAATATTCTAATTTTCTGAGATTGTGGATTTGGGGTTTTCATGAGCTGTAAGCCATAATCATCACAACTATGATAAATCACGGCTTGAACTATCTTGCTTTACATGTAATGAGTCTATCTCATATATTAGTTTCACCTTTTAAGTTGCATTACTGAAATAAATGAACTTTTGCACAATATTCTAATTTTTTGAGTTTCACCAGTATGTTTCTTCAAAAGTGCCTAGTTTCTTTTTTGAATAAAATATCCCGTGCTGCTTAATTGATTTCTTGTGTAAAAAATTTTTTTCTTATATTGTGCTCCCCCACCAGATGTGCTCTCACCTCAAGTATATGACCAAACCGTTAAGTGAGGTCATATAACGCTTGTGTCCCTTTAAATGGGCCAAAATGGATGGGATGGTATCTTGCTGTTTGGGGTCCCTCTCTAATCAAACGATAGTGTCAGGAATGGACTTGCCAGTAATGGTGGGACTCACCTGCCTTGTGGGCTGCAGTACCAGGGCTGGCCAGCGGGTGCTCCCAGCAATCAGAGACTCAACCCTGCAGCCAGCCAAACACCTGAAGTTGATTATGCAGGTGTATTTTAAGGGATGGCCAGACCTGCAGTCTCTGCCTTGGTGTGTGCTTTTCCTGGGCCTGTATCTTGTTCCTGCATCCCTGTTCCTGTCTCTGTCTGATTCGTTGCTGACCTTGCCTGATCCGGACCTCTGCTGACTTCTCCTGTTTTATCCCTGGCTTGTGACCCCGACCATTCTCTGCCTGACCCCCTGTACCTACCTGCCCGATTGTTATTGACCCGGCCTGCCTGACGACGCTTGCATTGTATGTACTGTTATCTGTGGGTGGTTTGGTTTGTTTGCACTGTGTTATGTTCTAGTATTGCACTGCGTTTATGTTTGTATTGTTAGTCTTTAATAAATTATATTGTTTTATAACTTATCTGAAGCCTGCGTTTCCCTGCGTCAGTCACATACCTCTGGTCATACCCTGGAGCCCTGACAGATAGGCTCCCCTTCCACAGAGATTGATATAGAAGAATAATCAAATCATAGTGTATTATCCTTATAAAACCATTTTATTAATAAAAGTAATGCACTTACATATACTCTGCATAAAAACTGCTTTGTGCACAAAAATGTCCTCCGGATATTTTTCAATGGTGAATATTCTAAAGTGTCCAGCTGGTGTCAGTATGATTCCCTTGAGCGTTGTGATGTCAAAGCCCCTCCCCTATGCGTTACGCCACTGGTCACGTGGCTTCATCAGAAGAAATTTACAATTAGCACTTAAATATCAATTACCACTTACATAGCAGCTCACGAGCTTCCACTTTTCAGACTGTCTAACCTGAATGTGAAGCTGATAAGGTGGAACAGTCAGTGTGTCTGAGACATCCTGTCCAGAAAAAAAACAACTCCCACCCAGAAGGTGTAGGGAAAACTCAATCCTCTGAAGACATGGTAGGAGCAGGGGCTGAGGAGATGTGAGGTGCATTCAGCGTTCCAGCCCCGCCGGATGCAGCATAGCTGAAGCAGCCAGACAGAAAGCATCAGCAGAGGCAGATGGGGCAGTGGCTGACATGGAGGCCGCCCCAGATGTGGGTCCAGAGTGTCCTGGGCTTCGTGATTTGGAAGTGTGGGGAGTGGGCGGACCGTGGATGACAGTTATTAGGTGGGAGAGAAGCCAGTGGTGAGGCATAGACTGAGCCAACCCCGTCAGAGACAGTGGCTCCCTGTGAGGCAGTTCTATTGCTGCTGCTGGACCAGTTCTGACTGGGGCTGAGCCTGGAAGGGGGCCTGGAGCATCTCCTCACCTGTGGAGATGTCGGCCTGGATAACTGTGGAGTCTCTGCCGGTCGGGGGCACAGCCGGGGAAGAGGGCACCATTCACAGGAGGGGGAGAAGCCATTCTACCTGATCCCTCTCAAGCAGCTATCGGACCCTGTAAATGACTGACTAACCACCTTCAGCCATTTGGGGCTCATCCACTAGCATCACCTTTGTCACTAGGCCATGCTCTCCACAGTCAAGGCTCCCTTTCCCTATGGGATCAAGGGGCCGTCATTATGTGATGTGTCAAATGCTTCTGACTCCACTATTTTCTATGGGCATTCCCTTCTGTTCCAATATTGTCTATGGGCATTTCACTGCCCTGTTAGGCCAGGTTAACATATGTGCCTCCCACGATTTGCGTGGGCATGGGAGCCCATTAATTTGAATGGACTCTCGTGCTCCAGGACACGCAGGTGAGAAATCCCTACTCTTCTTTGGAAATCGCAGCCCGCACAGGAACTGAGGTTCCAAGTAAAGTTACAATTTGCATGGCACACGCCTGCAGATACCGCATTCCTCTATGTGGGTGTTGTGCGGCTGCAGATATTTGTGCGGGTTCCACAGCGGCACCACCCACACAAATGTGAACCAAGCCTTAAAGTCTATGGGCATTCCATGCTTTCATTCCTTTTAGTATGTCCCTACAAAAACCCAGCCTGCCACTTGTTTTTAAACATTTAAGTTCAATACCGCTTTACCCTAGGTTCACACCTATTTTGGTTGCGTTTGATGCGTTTCTGCATTGCGTTTTTGATGCTTTTTTTAAAATGTTTTTTTTTCTTGTTGCTAGACAGATTTTAAAACGCAAAAAGCATCAAAACTACAATACATGCTTTCCTGCAGCGTTCCCATTGAAGTCTATAGAACCTAAAACGCAATGTTTTGTGTTCAAAAAGGTCCCTGACCCTTTCCACAAAAAAAAAAACCGCACCAGATGAAAACGCGGAGATGAGAACCTGTTCCATAGAAAATCATGTTTTTTTTTTAATTTAAATATTTAGTTTATTGGTGATTTGAAATCATAGCAAATCATGTTAAATGGACTGTAGTGTGTTTCTGCAAAACACTGCAGAAACTGCTTAGGTGTGAAGTCTGAGGTGACCCATAGAAGCCAGAAAATCAACCAGATATTATTCTTTATCCTGTAGTAGAAAAAAAAAATAATTTCACCGGTAATTTAGGAAAAGGAAAAACAAAAAAAACAAAAACCAAGGGAGTACCAACATGGCGCTTTGATCATAGCCACAAACTCTCGCGAGATTTGATGTCATTCAGCGTGGCTACCCGGCTTCCCCTGGTCATTGTTTAGTTGTTCACCATTAGCGCTCCTAGCAGGTACGATGATGCGGCTCCGTTGTAAAACCCGTCAGGGGACACACTTACTGCAGGGGCTGACAGAGGTGTCCAGTGTCCGGGAGCTGCAGGACCTTATAGCGGGGGTGAGCGGCATCTCCGGGCCCGCACAGCGAGTCATGGTAGGCTATCCCCCAGCCTGTCTGGACCTGAGCGATGCTGACGCCCGCCTGCGGGAGCTGCCAATCAAATCAGGTAATGAGAGTGGCCTGTGTGTGAGGACCTGATACTGGGGCTGATGAGAGGGCATGAGGTGGCTGTGTAGCCTGTAACATCATTGCACCGTGTCGTGTGTTTATCAAGGCACACAAGAGGTTATGGGCCCCATTCACACCTGCCCGTTACTGATGTGTCACGATTTTAGCGTTTTTGGAGTGGCACCATTCATTGGAATGGTCTCCCTCTGCTGCAAAAACGCACTAAAGAAGCTCATGCCAAATTTTGGCTTAGATCAGGGGTGTCAAACTGGCGTCCCTCCAGCTGTTGCCAAACTCAAAGTCCCATCATGCTTCTGCCTTTGGGAATCATGCTTGTGACTGTCAGTCTTGCAATGCCTCATGGGACTTGTAGTTTGGCAACAGCTGGAGGGCTGCTAGTTTGACACCTGTGGCTTAGAGAGTAACACCCAGGTAACATAGGGTAAGACTTGGCCTGTGATTTGCATATCAATGCCAAGTCGCACCCCATTGTCCGCTATTAGGGCTCGTTCACACTTGGCTGTTTTGCCAACGCTTGCCAAACGCCCCTATAGCGTTTGGCAAGCTTTGGTCCGGCGTTTGCGGAGCGTTTTTTAACGCTCGGCAAACGCTCCACAAACGCCGCATGCGCGGTTTAGCGGCGGTTGCTAGGCGTTTGCCGAGCGTTAATAACGCCCCACAAACGCCTATAATGCAGTTTGAGTGGGTGTTACCGCTCCGCAAACGCCCCGCAACCGCACCGCAAACGCCCGGGCGTTTGCGGAGCGGCACCATAGACGAGAATAGGAGGCTTCAAAGCCTCCTGACTCGACCAGAGGCGTCCGTTTTGCCGCAACGCAAACGCTCCTGTTAGAACAGCACCATGTGCTGTAATGTGCAGAATTGGCAGAGGCGTTTGGGAAGCGGTAAAAACGCCTCCCAAACGCCTCTCTGCCGCCTGCTGCACACAAGGCTAGTGTGAACGTAGCCTTAGAGTGGTCATATCGGTGCGGTTGTGACTTGGTCGGAGCCGCACTGATTTCTAAAGTAGTGAAACCACTACTTTTGGTGCGATTTGCATAGACATCTGTGTCAGATGTCTTGCAAATCGCACCTCAAATCGGCACGTCCCCCGACTTTGAAATTGTGCGACTTCACTGTAAGTCGCACAATTTCAAAATCGGCTTTGATGTGACCGGGGTGTAAGGCGCATTTTGCGACAGGGATTTTTGCGCATTCTTCATGCCAAAAGCGCATTACTTTGGCGTATGTGTGAGGTGCCATTAAGAAAGTGTTTTTTACACAGCTGCAGAAAATGTTTCTGCTACAGGTTTGAACGGGACCTTAACCACTTGCCCTCCTGAGGATTTACCCCCTTTTTCCTGATCAGCCATTTTTTTTGCGTCACGGCGCTGCGTTACTTGCACAGTCATGCAGCACTGCACCCAAATGAAATATGAAATTTACGTCCTTTTTTCCTCACGAATTGAGCTTTCTTTTGGTGGTATTTGATCGTCTGTGCATTTTTATTTTTTGTTCTATTAAAAAAAACAATTTTGAGGAAAAAAAAACATTTTTGACTTTGCTATTGAACATGTCCAGTAAAAAAAATGTAAAAATCTAATTTCATCATAAATTTAAGGCAAAATGTATTCTGCGTCATGGCTTTGCTAAAACAAAATCCCAATACGTGAAAATTAATTGGTTTACGTGAACGTTCTAGCACTTACAAATGGCGGTATAGATACTGGAGTTTTTTATTCATATTTACTAGTAATGGCGTCGATTAGCGACTTATTGCGGAACTGCAGCGGACATTCTGACACGGCGATGGGGGGACTGATTTGGTGTCACTGATATCCCCAGTGACACCAATACAGTTATCAGTGCTAATAAAATGCACTGACACTGTACTAATGGCACTGGGCAGGAAGGGGTTAACGTGGGGTGATCAAGAGGTTAACTTTGCTGGTTCACAGTATGCTGTGTGTGTGCTTTCCACTGTAAGCACACTGCTTTGCATGGCAGAGCCATACAAAGCAGTGTGCAGGAGCTGACGGGAGAGGTCTGTATTGTTTACATACAGGTCTCTCCCCCATCGGTAATACTCGGAGATCGCCGGGTGCCAGTGGAAAATCGCCGCACGGAACCCGGTGATTGACAACCGAGGCCCTGAATGGTGGCGCAGGTACGGCGCGCACGCGCCCCCTACCCGGAACTGCGAAATCGCTTGTATACATACACGATTTTGCACACCCGTGCCACCCTGTAGCAGTATTTCTGCTACGTGGTGGCTCGGAAGCAGTTAATATTTAAGGTTTAATGTGCTATGCAGAGCCATACAAAGCAGTGTGCAGGAGCTGACGGGAGAGAACTGTACTGTTTACATACAGTTCTCTCCCCCGTCAGTAATACTTGGTGATCACCGGCTGGGACCCAGTGATTGACAGCCGAGTCTGCAGATGGTGGTGCTGGTAGAGCTTGCGCACGCCCCCTACCCTGAACTGCAAAATCACGTGTATATATACACAATTTTGCGCACCCCTGCCACCCTGTAGCAGTTGTTCTGCTATCGGGCAGAGGGGAAGCGGTTAAAGGGAACGTTCACCACCAAAGAATTGCCTGTGTACATAAAGGGTGTCTGTGGATAATAAACTGTGTGTCCCTGAATAAAGTTGAATAATGCCCTTGCTATAGGTGTAGGCCTTTTACGTACCTCATGAAGCCTGACTGGAATACTCCCAGGACGTTGCTAAGTGAGGCCTAGTCAATACAGCTTACCCCCAGCATCACAGCAGTGAACTTTTTCTCTGACTCAGACCCCCTCCCCCACGGCTCTTTCACTCCCCTCATGTGGTAGCTCTGAGCTCAGCGTCTGATAGCTCACTCCTGTGGCGGTTACAGTAATTACTAGACCTCACGTAATGTCCTGGGAGTTTTCCAGTCAGGCTTCAGGAGGTACGTAAATGGCCTACACCTATAGCAAGGGCATTATTCAACTTTGGTCAGAGCTGCACAGTTTTTTTTTTTATCTTATCTACAGACACCCCTTTGCTGCGTAAGCCGTTATTTGGTAAAGGGGCCTTTACCAAAAGCACGGGGGCCTGCGCTTTGTCCTCATCCCACATGCAGTAAGACATCAGCAGGAGCTTTTTACTCCTCTTCACCAGGATGTCTGCCAGTGTTGCTGACCCCTTGAAGTGAAATTTACTGACATGTTGCCAAAAATTTAGTGGCAGGACCAATTTTTTTACTGACAAAAATCATGAAATTTACTGACCGAGCCAATTTTTTTTTAACTGACATTTAAAAACAGTACATAAAATTACTGTTTTTGATGCAAAACAGTGCAAAAATCAATATTTAAGCTACAAACACGTAGCTAGTGCTATTAACAATGTGTTTACAGTGCATCCAGAAAGTATTCACAGCGCTTAACTTTTGCCTCATTTTGTCATGTTACTGCCTTATTCCGAAATGGATTAAATAAATTTTTTTCCTCAACATTCTACAAAACAACACCCCATAATGAAAGAAGTTCGTTTTGAAATCTTTGCAATTTATTAAAAAAAAAAACAAAAAACACATGTACATAAGTATTCACAGCCTTTGCCATGACACTAAAAATTGAGTTCTGGTGCATCCTGTTCCCACTGATCATCCTTGAGATGTTTCCACAACTTGATTGGAGTCCACCTGTGGGAAATTCAGTTGATTGAACATGATTAGGAAAGGCGTAAACCTGTCTATATAAGGTCCCACAATTAATAGTGCATGTCGGAGCACAAACCAAGCCATGAAGTCCAAGAAATTGTCCGTAGACCTTTGAGACAGGATTGTATCAAGGCACAGATCTGAGGAAGGGTACATAAATATATATGCAGCATTGAAGGTCCCAATAAGCACAGTGGCCTCCATCATCCCGTAAATGGAAGACGTTTGGAACCACCAGGAATCTTCCTAGAGCGGGCCACCCGGCCAAAATGAGTGATCGAGGGAGAAGGGCCTTAGCCAGGGAGGTAACCAAGCACCCAATGGTCACTCTGAAAGAGCTCCAGCGTTTCTCTGTGGAGAGAGGAGAACTTTCCAGAAGAACAACCATCTCTGCAGCGCTCCATCAATCAGGCCTGTATAGTAGAGTGGCCGGACGGAAGCCACTCCTCAGTAAAAGGCAGCCTGTCTGGAGTTTGCCAAAAAGCACCTGAGGGACTCTCAGACCATGAGAAACAAAACTCTCTGGTCTGATGAAACAAAGATTCAGCTCTTTGGCCTGAATGCCAAGCGTCATGTCTGGAGGAAACCAGGCACCGCTCACCACCTGGCCAATGCCATCCCTACAGTGAAGCATGGTGGTGGCAGCTGTGGGGATGTTTTTCAGCAGCAGGAACTGGGGAGACTAGTCAGAATCGAAGGAAAGATGAATGCAGCAAGGTACAGGGACATCCTTGATGAAAACCTGTTCCAGAGTGCTCTGGACCTTAGGCTGTGGCGACGGTTCATCTTTCAACAGGACAACGACCCTAAGCACACAGCCCACATAACAAAGGAGTGGCTATGGGCCAACTCTGTGAAGGTCCTGGAGTGGCCCAACCAGAGCCCAGACTTGAACCCGAATGGCTGTGCACTGATATCCAACCTGATGGGGCTTGAGAGGTACAGAACAGAAGAATGGGAGAAATTGCCCAAAAATAGGTGTGCCAAGCTTGTAGCATCATACTGAAAATGACTGGAGGCTGTAATTGGTGCTAAAGGTGCTTCAACAAAGTATTGAGCAAAGGCTGTAAATACTTATGTACATGTGGCTTTTTTTTGTTTTTTATTTTTAATAAATTGCAAAGATTTTAAAATAAACTTCTTTCACATTGCCATTATGGGGTATTGTTTGTAGAATGTTGAGGAAAACAATTAATGTAGTTCATTTTTTAATAAGACGATAACATAACAAAACGTGGCAAAAGTTAAGCGCTGTGAATACTTTCTGGTTGCACTGTAAGTTATAACAAAAGGAAAAAAACATTTCTTAATTTATATGAAGGTCACATTAATATCACCCAGCTAGCACAGAGTTACCCTTTTAGATCAGAGTCTGCAGGATTCCCACTTACAGTGTAAAGGGAACTATGGTGTAAAGAGGAATGCTGTGGATCATGCTGTAGGCTTTGGTGTACAGGGGAATGCTGATATAAAATGGTCTTTGGTAATCAGAGTCTGCAGCGTTTCCCTTTTACATCAAAGTTCTCACTCAGGGTCTGCAACATTACCCTTTTATGTCAGAGTTCACCTTTACATCAGGTTCTGCACAGTTCTTCTTTAATCTGTGATTATGCAGACTCCGATGTAAAGGGGAACTCTGAGGACACTGATTTAAGGGGGAAAGCTGGGAGCTCTGACATGGGGAGGGGGTGATCTGGTGACTACAGACCAACTTCCGCAGATTGAATACACTAAGGAAAAGGGGGGTTACTGATATAAAGGGTAACCTTTATATCACTGCTCCCCTTACCTTACAGTATTAACCCCCCCGACTGGCCTTGTAGTGCTGGCAATGACTTCTCCTCAGGTGCACCGTGCAGGGCCCAGTCAGATGGTCCCCTCTGTGTTCCAGCTTCGCAACTTTGATTTCATCCCATATTCCCCTCTCCGCAGTCCACTCGTCTGACACCTCCCATGACCCCGTCTTAGCAGCGCTCCCACTCTTGACTCCTATCCAGCCCCCTCCTCAGAGAGGCGAGGGGTTCTAAAATGGGTAAGTATATACATCTTTCTTACACAGGTTAGTTACCATGTGGGGTGGGTTGTGGACTGTTTTAAGGCTAGTTAGGTGTAAGCTGGAATTTCACTTTAAGATATGATTGTAACTTATAATCGTAAGAGGAATTTTATGTGATCAATCGAAATACGTTCATGACCAAAGTATAAGCAGTGCAGCTAATCGATACAAATCAGTTAATAATTTTCTACCCTGGCTGATCAACTCAGTATGATCGAATCTGATCTAAACCAAGTCGAAATCAATCAGGAGGGATGTTATGGCTGTTCAGTTGTTTTCCAGTTCAACTGTTTTGATTGAATTGCACATCCATTGAATGATAAAATCAAAGTGCGCCCATATATGCGGCATCCAGGAGGTGGGCATTAAACTTGGTTGCTGAATTTGTGTTCTTGTCTTTGTGCTGGGAGCGTGCCGCACAGCATTCTCCGTACAGAGACCAGGATCTCAGCTACGATTGGGACCTGGTTCCTGGTCACCTGATTGCTGTGATAGCTTTTGATTGGCTTCGGGTGCTTGTCATGGCCTACACTTTGACCTCTTTGAGCAGAGCTTATGCTGTGGCAATGAAGAGACTATTCTCAATGGCAACAATCAAATTGAACATGGTGCTATGTGTTGATACATCAGATTGTATTGCGATGGGAGGAAATGGCCAGATGAAACAAGATTGTGTCTCCATAGACAGTTACCCTCAAGACAGGAAAATTCATATTGGCAGAGCAGCCAAGTCTAAACAGAAGATAAAGAAGATTTCAATGCAAAACCATGACACTTGCATAATCTAACCGGGTATGCTACAATCTCTAGTGTATAAGCATGCATTAGATCCTATTTACTTCCCTATTACTCAGAAAAGCTTGATCTTTGCCTCTGATCTAGTTTCACTTAGTTACCAGGGCCTACTTTCCATGACGTGATGGCTAAGTTCCTCAACCTCCATCACCATTTACAGGGAGCATACCTTCACAGACCAATGAAGCTGTCCCATAGGACACTGACATGGCAGTTGATAGTCTTATTCATGAAGTCAAAGTAAAGCTTCGTGCACACTGGGCTCTTCTAAACGCTTTCCTCCTGAGAGGTGAAAAGCAGTGCTGAAAATGCTCCTAACGCCTTCTTTTTTAAACCCTGCCAGGTGCATCAAGCATTTGGGCGTTTAATCATTTCATGGGCCAGAATATTATTTATTTTGGTCATTGAAATAAACTCTCAAGCGCTAAATGGGCCTAGCGTTTAAGCAATGTTTACACATGTTAAGGCACATTGGGCATTTTTTCTGCACAAATGTTCCTCTCCTGAATGTGATTTTGGTACATTCAGATTTCTGTCCCTAAATGCCTATGTGTGCATGGACACATAGGCTAACATAGAGGGGCATTTAGGGGCAGTGAATAAAACGTTAACCGCCTGTAAAACAGGCATTTGACAGCTGCAGTGTTCATGAGACCCAAAAGTATCAAATTGCAAACAATTCCAAGAACCGTATCAGTGTAACAAAGGTAAAAAGCAGCCATTTTTGTATTTGTTCTTTATCAGGGCTTTAAAATAGAGCACAAACTCATAAAGAAACTTCAGTAAAAGGGAAGCTTGGTGTGTTGCCTAATAAATGAGTCGACTTATCTCTTGATGGGAGCTGTGGGGTATATATGAGATGTAATGTGTATGGTAGAGTGTGTTGAGTGTATTTGGATGAATGGTGTGGTATCTACAGTGTGCTGTATGTCATGTACTCCTGACTATGCCATTCTATGTCACATACAAAATGTTACATATTCCACACCTAAAATAATGGGTTAGGTGTGGAATCCACTGGGAACATTGTAATCTGTTGCATAATCCAGATTGCTAATCATCACCTTATTGTCATATAAATCCAGATTAGTTGTTTATATAATTGGGACTCTTGAATTCTATGCTTGTGCAGATTAGTAGACTCCATGTGGTATATGCAAATGAGTTTGGGATCTTTTATAGCTTCTAGCTTTCTATTCCTCTTGATAAGGTCAGTTTTTGCTATGTCCCAGGTTTGGGATCACCTAAGAGTGAGCACTGTACACTTCAGGAGTACCCCAAATCTATTATATAAATCCACTGACAATTACTTCATCCAGTTGTGCAGCTCCATGTCAATCATGACCATCAACCACAAAAAAAAAAAAAAAAAAAAAATTGCCACCTGCTAACACGTCTGAACCTCTCACTTGACTCCTGCTGAATGTTATTCCCTGCTGCTTGTCACCCACAACCTACATTGTATTGATTTATTCTAAATAATGGGGGTAATTTTCTGAATTTAACCCACTTTTGACAATATAATCACAAGAGGTGACATTTATAAGATATAAAAAAGTTTTCACTTAAGCTTGTTAGAAACAAGCTTCCTTTTTAACAAACCCCACTATTTATTTAGATAATGTGCAGCTCCGTTTACATTCCTGGCACTGTTCTGGTGTGTCAGAATGTATGAACTGTGCATCATCCCACAACAAAAGACTAGCACCTGGTAGAAGCCAGAGAGAAGATGCTGGTGTGCTCATCTGACTGTTGGAGCAGTGGTAAGTATTGTGGATTTTCTTTCCACTTTAAGTACAGAACCGCTGCAAGGGGGACCCAAATATATGTATTGAGGAACAAGGGAGGAGGCCTGGAAGAATTTCTATACATTTATGTGGCTCAGAATCCTTGCTAAATGTAAAATTGTTCATCTGTTAGAATATATAGCAATTGTAAGCTGGAAAATGTCATAAGGTGCAAAAGAGTTGTTTTTTTTTCTCTCTCTCTCTCTTTTCCTTTTAGAAGATTTCAACTGCTGTTGGTATTCATACTGCACTGTGTATGCAATAAACTGTCTATGATTATTACATGATTATTGTTATTACAGGTCTGTATTTTGACAGGTATTTAAGGTGTATATTTTTATGTTTTTGTTTTTTTTTTTAACAGGTGACACGCTAGTTGTGGAAGAGGATAAAAGCAGGAATGCTACTGTCGTGAAGCAATGTTTAAATGATCAGACTCTGCCAAGAGCTCCAGCGATTGTTCGTAGAGTAGTTCCAGCAGACAATTCCTGTCTCTTTACAAGTGTTTACTATGTAGTGGAAGGTGGTGTATATGACCCAGCATGTGCACCAGACATGCGCAGTCTTATAGCTGAAATTGTTGCCAGTGATCCCACAAGTTATTCTGAAGCTGTGCTTGGAAAAAGTAATGAAGAATATTGCTCTTGGATTCGTAGGGATGACACATGGGGTGGAGCTATAGAAGTTTCAATACTTTCAAAATTTTATCAGTGTGAAATTTGCGTAGTAGATACCCAGACAGTGAGAATAGATCGTTTTGGGGAAGACGCTGGCTACAGCAGAAGAGTTTTGCTAATTTATGATGGCATTCACTATGACCCTTTACAGCGCCAGTTTCCTGATCCTAGCATGCCCCCTATGACCATCTTTTCCACAACAGATGATGATGCACTGGTACAGGCCCTGGAGTTGGCAGATGAAGCCAGGAAGAAAAGAAAGTTCACAGATGTGAATAGATTTGCCTTACGCTGTATGGTTTGCCAGAAGGGATTAACTGGTCAATCGGCAGCAAGAGATCATGCCAAGGAAACTGGGCACACCAACTTTGGGGAGGTGTAGTATCCCAAACTTCAAAAAATTGGTGAAATCTACCTCGTGCCCCAGAACCCAGTTTTAAAGTGCAAATGTAGTGATATTCTGCAAACAACTAGGGAAAGTTGTCAACACCTTCTTTCTCTTTTTTTTTTTTTTTTTTTTAAGGTTTTGGGATATTTATTGTGGTGTCAAAGCTGAACTCCAGCCAGTTTTAAGATTAATTTAAAGGATTTTTGGGTAAATAAAGTTTCATGTCATAAGCTAAAGATATACATATACATTAGGTGATTCCTGTGTCAGAGGCTGTCAGCTGTTCTTTCGTCTGACATAGGTATTCATATTACTTTTATATGTAGTATTAGGGTGTTTTTGTTTGTTTGTTTTGGTTTGTGAATTTGACAGCACATGGTCAGCCAGAGAGATTACCAGGCCAAAGAAGCTGTATAATTATTAGTGTGGTCACTGACCACACACACATACTTTTAGTGCTTTCTTACACTTTAGTCTGACAAAAAAGTTGACACATTATTTTTTTCCACAAATATTTGTCATATTTAAACTAATCTTGTACTGGGGGCTAAATAAGAGTGCACCTGTAAAATCCTCCAATAATCTAGGTGCCAGTTCACTAATTACTTAAATGTAATATTAAATAGTACCCCGATCTGTCTAATAACTATGGCTACACAGAAAAACCCTTTTTGCATTGCATTTAACAAGTTTTGTGTAAACTTACTTTACTAAATAATATTATAATATGTGTACTATTGGGTGTCATTTCCAAGCCTTTTGAGTACTGCCCCAGTGTACCTCTTCAGTTTTTTGAAAATCCAATGTAGATACAACATTCTTAAAGTGTATAGGACTAAGCATACACCTATCTGACATATCTAACAACATTATGGTCTGGTACCTCTCCCAAGCATTATGTACTGCAGTTTGGGAGATTGTGTCCTGCATATGTTACTAAGTATGTCTTTGGGTTGCAGTAGCAGATGAGCATGCTGGATTTCTAAAAAAAGATAAGCAAATGGCATGGCACAGTTAGGGTGCCTAATTATATAATATTACCATTACTGTAGCTAGCTAATCCCTAGGTGTACATTGGCCAGGCTCCTTTTTTTCTATAACATTGTTTTTAATATAAATCCTAACAATAGGTGCAACAAATGCCTCTTCCGTCAGGAACCTTGTGAGCTGATAACTTCCATTGCTTGTGCTGCACTTTAAGTTTTGTTCCCAGGCTTTTTTTGACGTCTACAGAACCCTTACCCTCTCTTTTATAGAAGAGGAGGTGTTTGTAGTGCAAATGAGAGCAGCCTAGGGTGACAATACTACTTATCCATGGATACTGTACAGCGAGTGAGCACTGACACAAGATCACCAGGTTAAAACAGAGGAAGAAAACTAGTCAGCAACCACATCTAAGATCTGCTGAGCTACAGTATATTACATTTTTGTTCTTGGGCTTAGATGCCTTAAGCTGAACTCTGGGCAAACAGCAAAGTGCACAGATGAAGTGCATATATTGGAGCTGTTATACCTGCCAAAGGTTTTGCATTTCTTTCCATCCAGTGAAGATTGTTACACAGCCTTGCTGCTCAGCAGAGAATCTTGTCTTTTCTCTGCTGCAGTTAAGTAACAATTACAGGTATTGACAGTGAAAAGAGAAGCAGAGGGTAGATGAGCTCATCCATCGCTCTGCTCCCCTTCCTATCAACATGTCCCTCAGTAGTCAATGAACACTGCAGCACAAATGACTGGATCCTTGTGGTGCTTTTTTTTTTTTTTCCCAGTCTGATTGCTGTACAGTTGAGTACAAATCTACTGTTTTACGATGTTAAAAAAAAAAAGTATCTTTTAATGACTACAAGGCTTCATTTGTTTGTGTATTTTATAGTTGCCTGGAGTGCAGCGTTAATTTAGATTTCTAACCTTTTTCTTTTCTCTTCCATTGAGAGACAAAGGAAGTCACTTATTGTTGAGTTAAACTACTGTCTACAAAAGGACTGGTAAACAAAAAAGTCATCTTACTGCTAGCATGCCTCAGTTTATTGCCAGTGTCCTGGAAGGATGGATGTCGTTTCTTCAGCTTAACGTGGAAAAATCTTACCATTTTTCGGTAGTATTTTTATCTTTATTCAAGATTCTTTGCTACATTGTTGTTTGAGCTGGTCTCCACAATGGCTGCTTTCTAGAGTGGCCTTTCCTCAGCCTAGCTTTTGAGTGTTTTACCTGGAGCCCACTGGTACAGATGTTGCAGGACTAGCCTGGAAGTGACCTTCAGGAACTGGGTTCCTTGCTAGGTGCTTTCCAGACCCCATTCTGGTAAAGTTAGGCACAGAGCACTTTCCAAGTCCAGTGCTGTACACAAAATGCTTCTGTGCTTGCCCTTGTGTGTGTGTGTGTGTGTGTGTGTGTGTGTGTGTGTCAATGGGTCTGAACACTGGAAGCTACCATTTGATAAACATCTGGGTGCTTTGAATTTCCACATGGACCGCTAATCTTTGGTCTGTTCCTACTGCCTGCCTACTCTGACTTGCCCACCTACAGCCACCTAACCCTAGACCTGCTTACCAGCATTTGGGTTTCTGTAGTTACCAGAGGCATTGTCCCATACCTTGAGCTTATCTGCTAATAACCAAGCAGTTGCAAAATGTTTGATTCTAGAAGTGGGGACATAGTTAATCTGGCTGAAAAAAGACAGAAGTCCTTGCAGTTTAACCATTTAAAAAAAAAAAAAATAGTTTTAATCCTATGCCCACAGTTGATCCAGAGGAAGGCAAAAAAAGCAGCAAACCATGAACCAGTTTGCTCCTGCAGGGGAAAAAAATCCTTCCTGATTCCCCCCGAGAGGCATTGTGTATCCAAGAAAGAATCCAGGCCTTTTTTAAAGCAATCCAATGAGCTGGCAAGAACCAACTCTTGAGGGAGTCTATTCCACATTTTCACAGCTCTCACTGTGAAGAAACCTTTCCGTGTTTGGAGATTAAATTTATTTTCTTCCAGACGTAAACAGTGCCCCTTTGTCCTCTGTGATGACCTCAGGGTGAATAACTCTATACCCGACAGCCCTACTGTTTCAGGTGCTCTCAGCTCACACTCAGTAAAAGTCTCTGGTGTTGTCTGCAGTGTGCCTGCTAATGCATCTGACCTCTGCATCCAGGAATCCTCTTACTCTCTGTTCCTAGAGCGTATGCCATCTTTGAAGTCTTCCCTAGCTTCACTGGAACTGAGTGCTGCTTCTGCCCTATATATGGAAGTTTTTCTTCAGTCATGCTTGACTTTTTATAGGCCAAGAAGCACAGATGGTTGTTGACTTGCTGAATGCAGAGGTCACAAGCTAGTTTTCACTCCTTCCCTTCCAGGTTCTGTATCTGGTCTATCAGCCTCTGAGCCATCAGTTGCTGAGATTGAGTCTCTTGAGTTCCTACCCTGCATCTGAAAGCTCCAAATGTTTTAATTCAAGTTCTGTATGGAATTCACCAGGTCTGTCATTGCTGCCCTTCGTCAGGAAGACTTACTGGCGTCTGGGTGTTAAGGATGCGTGCCTACATATACCCATCTTTACATCGCACCAGTGATCTATGCTTTGCTGTCGTCCCTCTGCACATTCTGTTTGTGGCCTTACTAGTCAGCCTATTTTTTTAGGTCTTCAAAGAATTCATGCTGGAACGAAATCATCTAACTCTAAATAAGTTTTGGTCTCTCGTCTCAATCAGTACATCATTCTTTCATCCTTGTGTCCAGCTCCAATTCGTTAGAGGGGTGTGGTTCAAAGCTACCGCTTCTTTAAATAAAACTGATGCCTCATTTCATTGTCTGGATGCAGTTTAGGCTGGGAGAGTCTCTGTCCCTGCTTCCTCTAGAAAGACTGATTTCTTGTTCTGCCATTTCTCAGTGGCTCAGACAAACCATTATCCAAGCTTTTGGTTTTAAGGATGCATTTGCACCCTTTCCTGTGAAAGCACTTACTATTCAATCTGTGCGTGCCCTTGGGCTCTTCAGCATCAGCTACGGTTTCTCATATTTGCAAGGCTGCCACCTGGTCTTCTGTTCACATGTTTTCCCAGTTCTACCAGGTGGATGTTAAGTCTTTTTCTTATGTAAGGTCCATCAGACAGCTCTTTGAGCTGCGGACAGTCCTCAGTACTGTTGTTTTCTAGTTGGCCTGTTGGAGTTTTATTTGTTGTTGCCCACCCCTCAGTTGGATTGCTTTTTGACTTAGGACAGTTAAAGCTGAATTCCACAAATTCAGTGACGTTGTAAAAAGTGCAAGCACACATTAAGTAAAGTCCTAATAGCTGCCTGTCACTTTTGTGGGCTTATCTTTATTATTTATATATGGCAGGTTTATGGCTCTGCCGCTGAATACACTCAACAGTTGAGTCTGTGTAAGAGAAGAAAAAAAACAGAGAGCAGCTATGCCCGCCCCGCCTTCTGCTACCCATTTACAGAAGCCTTTGTACTTTGTTAATGAGTTCACACCAAACAAAGGCTTCTGTGATTGGGAGGAGGAGGGGAGGGGCGGGCATGGTAGCTGCACCCATTCAACACCTGACATGGCTAAGACCAGCTGAGTCCAGTATAGAAGCTCCAGAAGCTATGCTGCTGACGCACAATATACCTGTCAGATATAAATAGTAAAGATAAGCCCAGGAGGTGGGAGGTGGCAGACACCTCATTGGACTGAAGTCATATAGTGCCTTCACTTTTCACAAAGTTGCTGAATTACTGAAATTAAGCTTTAATTCTCATTGTTCCGTAGTGGATGAGAATTAAAATAGGATTTTTTTTTTTTTTTATTCGCAGTAAAACCCTTTTTATCGAGTCCATTGAGGGAAACAAGTCTCACCCCCTCTATGCTTCTGATCATGCTATTGTTGCTGCTTTGCTACAAAATTGAGGCATGCTGGGGTTATCCGGGGCTGGTTTACAATTTATTTTTTTTTGGCAGTCTTTCTGTAGGCCAGGATTATTGAATTAAAATTCAAGACGGTCTGGTCACAAATTTTATTCTGGCC